TCTCCCCACACCCCAGCCCTACCACTCATTTATCCAGTTCATTTGTTCAGCAAGTACTTATTGAGCATCTCTCTGGGAGGTGCGGCCTAGGCACTAGGCCTACAAAGAGGCCAATAAAAGTGGCCGCAGACAACGTGATATGTGTGGCGTTGAATACGTGCAAGTTACTGTGAAGTTACTGGGGATCTTGAATATACCTACAAGGCAGTGACTGACTAGCCGGGAGGGTGGAAGTCTTTCAAGGAAAGGTGACATTTGAGTTCAGGGTTGAATGAGAGGAAAGTGGTAAATAGGATAAAAGGAGCAACTCTTTACAGAGGGATGGGGGGTGGAAAACACAAGAAAAGGGAGGTGTACTTAAGGCATCTGATCTAGGGGACATATCTAGAGATGAATGTGGTCAAGTAGTGAGATGCTGAAAATTACAGTTTATACTATAAACTATGGGCTTTAATTTATAACCAACAGAGGAGTTTAAGCAGCAGTAGAGCATTAGGGAGTACTTCGGGAAAACCAGGTGCTCCATGGAAGAGCCTTGAGAGAGGAAGTCCACTTTAGGAGCTTCATCATGCCTAGAATTATATAATGACCTGCTGATCACAGTCGCTGGTGATGGGCTTGGGAGTCTGGAATTAGTAAAAGTCCCGGTGGTATGTTCAGGAAGGGGGGGAGCTTTTAAAAACAGCAATGGACATAAGAGATGTTTCTAGGACCCAGTTTGCTACTGGCTTACTATCTGGGCTCACACAAGTCGTCTCATAGTTTTCCTGTCTTGAAAATTGAGGGTTTAGAACTAAATAATTACTGTAGTTCTTTCTATAATTCTGTGCTTCTAAACAAATGTAAATTTTGGCCCTAATTGAGCTACTTTTTGCTTATAATGTCTGCCGCCTCCCCCTGCCCCTTTTTAGGTTTTGTTGACCCTTTGTAGAAAAAGGATTTTCCTACTTCTATTCAAGCATTTCTTCTTTTCTGTCTTAGTGTGAACGTTTTCCACACTCTCCAAATTGCATTTGAAGTCTTTGTCTGAGGCTTGCTAGCTACCACATTTATTTTCTTGGCTTCTAAAAAGGTAATGATAGCAGTTTTTGATTAATTTATAATGAGCATGAAAATCTTTACATGAATATTCTAAGCCATAGGTAATTAACACAATGTTCAAATTACATGATAATTGCAAACTGCCAAGATTGCTCATCATTGCATGCTAGTTAGTGACATAGCTTCTGGATGCTGACTTCCAGCACAAGTCTGAAACAAATATTAGACATCCAGAAGATTGCCCTCTTCTTCCTCCCAGAGAGGTTACACCAAGGGGTAAGAAATAATTAGCACTCCCTAATTTATGCGACTGATGGTGGATCTGTGTATTGGAACGTGTCTCTGGCTTCTTTTTCTTCTCCTTTACAAAAATATGAACATTGCTGGAACCTGTGCCCTATTTATCATTAATTATGGTCCACATTCAAGGGTAGAAGAAGCAGATAAAGCCCATGGGGAATACATGGGCTTTAGACAGGTTTGGGCTCATCCTGACCATTGCTTGGTGAGTTTGGGTAATTTATCCTTTCAATTTCCTCAGGTATCATCTGCCTTGCAGGGAAATTATGAGGGTTTATTAGTATTATCAAAGTGCTTAGCAGTATCTGGTGTCTGGTAGACTGGTCCACAAATTCTTTGTATGTATGAGATTCTCAGTGAATATTAAGCATGACACATAGGAGATGATTGGTAAAGGTGTATCATGAATAATGGTGAGTTATAATTACATAAAGTAAAAGTTGATTTTTTAAATGTAAAACAAAGTCCCGTATCTACATTTTTTACATTTTCAATTGTTTTTTGTATGTACTACTTTGTATAATTGTTAAGCATGAGGTACTTGTTCTATGAGAGCACAGAGAAAATTTATGTAACTGTAACAGACACGAAATGGCATGCTTTAAAAATTTACTGGTTCCAACAAATTTTGCTACCATATTCAGATCAGACCACAACCAACCAGATGTTATATATATTGAAAAATGTTATATATGCTACCTGCACTGAGTATGGCTAAATCCTCTGTGCCAGGTGAAGAAGATTCTGTAATATCTTCAGCATCACTGACAGAATTTACTTTCCGTTCCCATTAAATCATTTGATGCACTCCTTGGCCTGTAATTGTGATTACTGGCATGCATTATGTGATATTCAGTTGCATTCACTGAGTCTAGGATGACTAATTAAATAGAGCTAACTGATCAAGGTTTAGTGACTGAAATCCTCGTCCTTATTTGCTTTTGTTAGTCTGTGCTGGCCCTGTTAGTCAGCCATCTTTGTAATTCCCATGCTGGTATCAGTTGTTTAATGCATGGTGTATAATGCTTTTGGGGTATTTTCTCCCATCTTTTAAAATTGTCTGCCTCACTAACAGAAATCTTAATAAAATCAGGTGTCTTTGCTACTGCATAGCTGTAGGAGCTTGAAGATAGAACACTTATTTTGGTTTTTACATTACTTACAATAATTTAAAATTGGGGAAGTAAAAATATATATGTTTGTAGAATTTATATTTGAGGAAGTGGTAGTCATAATGTAATGTTGTGATACTTCCTTCTGTGTTCATTTTTTTTTTTAGGTGGCGACATCAAAATTCCCCAAGTTTCACAAACTATAATTCTGAGTCATCACTTTGATTCCTTTTACTCCATAGCCCTCACATTTAGTCTCTGGACTCTCTTTATTTTGAACCCACCATTGTTTCTCTTCTTCATCCCGTCACCTTGACTCCGCAGCCATTGGCTAGACGAGCTGCCTGGGATCTTGCTCATCTCTGACTCCCGACATTGGACTTGTTTTTGCCACATCTTAGTGAATGAAGTCAGTATTCCATTCCTTACAGTGATAAGTCCAAGGTTCTTAAGATTACAGTTATTTTTTTATTCATCCTTTAAGATTAACCACAAAAGGAGTTCTTGACCGCCCCACTGTAGTTGAGATACTATTTTTTTCTATACAGTGAACAACTCTAATACCTGGAGTTTCCCTTATGAGAAAGGATTGAAGGAAATCAACTGGTCCATGAGGGGAAGACTGCAAGTGATAACAGATTTAAAACTCCACTGTAAGGCCCTCCCCGGTGGCGCAGCGGGTTAAAGCGCAGCACCATGAAGCTGGCATAGCCCCTGCACCACCAGTTTGATTCCCGGCCAGGGAGCTGACCCATATGGCACAGCAGACCTCTCTGACCTGCCCGCTGCTCCCCTCAGTGTATTTCATTGATCTGCCTGTTCTGCTCCCCACTCTGTCTCTGGGCCTGCAGAGACTGCCCCTGCACCTCTGGATGCATAAATAAATCTTTAAAAAAAAAAAAACCAATACTCCATTGTAGCAAAACTTACTAATATCTAAAGAAAGAAGGGGCTTGAGGAGGGAAAATGGCACATAGTGGTAACACAGAAAAGCTGGGACTCAGGAGAGTACAACTGGCAGTGCCACTCCGGGCCAGCGCTCACCCTGCAGGCAGGTGAGGACTGTGTGGCCTTGGCAGCATATGCGTGGCATCACGGTCACCTCCCGTTGCACAATGACCCAGTCAAAATCAGGTGAGATAGTTCACTCTAAAGGAGACGGGGAGCTGTTTGTTTCCTGGGGTGAGCTGGGTGTCTCTCAGGCTTTGCTCCGGGTGACCCCTTTGGGTGCTGTTGCAGCTGTGTTTCCCCTCGAGCACACCGCGCTCACTCAGGGCCCCGGTCAGATGCCCGGCAGCAGCCAGCTGCTCTGTGGCACCAACCAGTGTGCCGCTCTCTGTCCTGTGCTCAGGTGACTTGTGCAGACATTTCCCCTTGGCTTCTGAAATGCTAATGTTGAAATGATTTAGCTAAATAGATGAGTTACTTTAGTCTTTTCGTAGGTAGTGCTTTCCTGTAGTGTGGTGATCCATGGCTTTAATTAGTGAGTACATTGCTATAGATTTGCTGTGTTTTCTCTCTCTCTCTAACTGATCCTGCCTTCAAGATTAAAGGCACACATTTTGAACTATGAATTTACTTCTAGTAAAATAAAGAGTTCAGGGCTCAAAACTAGATCGTACTCTCCGTAGACGTTTGCAAATTAGCTTTGCATTGAACACCCTCTGCGTCGTCTGTGTACTGGGTTATGTTTAAGACTGTAACCTACTAATGCAGAGTGCAGGTCCAGCATGTTATGTTTAAATAAACAGAACATGTTTAGTTATGTTTAAATAAACCTATATTTTAGGAGGAATATGGAGGAAACGAATAAGAAATCAAAAAAAATTGTAACTATAATAAAGCAAAAATTAAAATCATCAGACAACTATAGATCCGAGACACTGTAGGAGGAGCGAGGGCCAGGCCAGGGGTGGGAAGAGCAGGAGGGACTGCCGTGATGGTGCTCGGGGAATTCCACGGGGAGATCGTACATTGTACAGAAATGATGATGTAATGAATCTATTTTTTAAAAATTAAAAAAAACCCACTATTTTAACATTTACTTTTAGATCTGTGTTTAAAAACCTGTACAATTTGATTAAATAACTGTGCTGCATTTACGTTGGATATTTTCTTGTTTGGGGATTCTTTTTTAAAGAGTATATTGGGTTTTCATATGACTATTGTATACTTAATTTATACACTTGGCTTTCTCGGAAATAAATCCTTGGCCATTTATAAAAACCTTCCCTCCTCCCATCCTAATTTCTACATGAATATTATTAGTCCATGCAAAGATTTTTTCTTTTTTTAATGGAGTATTTGCTATTTAAACATGGGGATGTTTTTCTTTTAGATGGGTCGCTTTTAAAGATAGCATGACTACCCAAGGAAATCTACCCTTCCCCAAATGTAAATTCTGCCTGTTCAGCAGCAGCAGAAGCTCTGCATTGTTTTCTGTTGGAAGTGTAAGCCGAAGGGAACAGACATTCCCTCTGCTTGGCGGGTGCGCTAAGCTGTGATCTGCCCTTGTTGTATTATTAATGGCACGATGTTTTCATGTTGCAGATGGCTGAAAGCTAGCAAGGAAAATTCAGGACCATGATGGCTCAGTTTCCCACCACTATGAATGGTAAGCAGCTTTGTGCATGTGGCAAAGTAAAGAGACTATGGGTGTGTTTTTTTTGGGGGGAGGGGGGAATACTCTACTCGTTTATTTTCCCTTAAGCAAAACTTAAAGTATCATTGCTGCATGTGCTTTGATAGTTTTTTTTTTTTTTCCAGAACACTGCATGTATCTTCTGTTAGCATATTATGCAGCAAATCCCAGGACTCAGTACAAGTCTGTTCTGCAGTATCATCTGTAATGCGTGCTTGCCTTTGGACAGTTAAAAATAACCTAAAAGTATATGGTGTTTGATGTGCAGAGCTAGAATACAAAGCCAGGGTGCTGTGCTGTGGAGAATTTTAAAGGTGTTTTTGATAGCATGAGATGATTGCAAACTAATGAAGACTGTTTACTTAGTAATGCACATAAAACTAGTTTAAGTACTCCATTTATAAAAGATTATTATGCCTACACACTGGGCATTGTTCAATGTGAAGTATTTTCAACATTTTAAAAGAAAATAGATGATTTCAGTAATAAAAAATTTAGAGTTTTTTAATCTGATTCTAGTTTTTAGTTTTTTTCCCAAATAAAAATTAACCACCTTCCAGAAGTACTAGCTTACTGTGTATGTTATATGGAATTCAGAGACTGCATTGTATTTTTGAATCTGTAAAAAATTCTAGGATGTGGATTTTAAATTTCCTGTAGTAGAAAAAAGATGGTGAACTCTTAATTTTGAGAATAATTGTTTTAGCTAACTATAAAGAAGTAGAATATCTAATTAATAATTCTTTAATATGTCAATTAAAAGAGTTAGTATTAAAGAATATGGGGAAGAATCACCAGTGATTTCACCACCTTTACAAAGCAGTTCTGTTCTAATATTTCCACCTAGTATTAGCCGACACCCCCCGCCAAGGTTCACTTTTTTTTTCTTTTTTTTAAAGATTTATTTATTTGTGCATACAGAATTGGGGTGCAGGCCAGAGGCTCAGGGGTGGCGAAAGACTTCACCAGAGACAGAGTGGGGAGCAGAACAGGCAGATTGACAAAGTCCATTGCTGAGGGGAGCAGCGGGCGGGTTAGGAGAGGTCTGCCACACCATGTGGTCACCTCCGGGGCAGGCGGGAATCGAACTCATGCGGAAGTGGTTTCAGCTTCTTAGTGCTGTGCTTTAACCCGCTGCGCCACCAGGGAGGGCCCCAAGGTCCACTTTTAAGGCCAAATCAGTACATGTATACATATAAATATCTAAAGTCTTAAAACTTGGATTGACTTTCTGAAATTTAGAAAAGTTTTAGGAAAATAAATTATTTAAATAAAATGTAAAAATTCTAAGGTGTGGGATTCTGTTGTTTAAAGAGGGGCTTGAGATAAGAATTGTTTTATTGTTTTCTCAGAACTCTTAAGAATTGATGTGAAAAAAACCAAACTTTTCTTTGTTTTTATTGTGGAAGTAATATGGGATTATGAAGATTATTTGATGCCATGGATAACTTTTTAAACTGAATGATATTTTTTCCCCATAATATGTAAAATCAGGTTAATAAAGTGGTAGTAACATACTTCAGCACAAAGTGAGAATTTCTCTGCCTCATACAGTGGAGTCTGCATTAAGCAACAGTATATGTCACAGACTTCAACTACCATATTAAGACAATTTATAAACAAAGTGAACATATAAGAAAGCAGTAGTAGTTAGTTCTGTCTTTCTTCTCTTCCTTAAGCACTTATATATCTGTTTTGTAGCATATTGCATTAGAGCTAAAGAATAATGCCAGATGGAAGCAAACAAAATGTTTAGTAACAAAAACTCATTACTTGAATAATTGTCAAAAATATCAGCCAACTACCAGGAGTATCTAGGAAGGGAGATAGTGATTTCTAAGACTTCTGAAGAATCTCAATGTAGACTGTTGTGCCGTCCTACTTAGGTTATAAAATAGTTAGATTAAAGATACTCTTGTTTGTAGCTAATGTAAGTCCAGCCCAGAGTTTAAGGTCTTTTTGAACTAGGCATCCATGTATAGTCAAAACCTTCAAAAGCAGCACTTGCTCCTTTAGTAAATTCTCAGTTACAGGTTGTGTTAATTTTTTCTTGGTGTCTCACGTTGTTGGGATGTGTGCTTGAGGCCAGGCCACTTGGCTAAATGCTACTGACATATGCTTCAGATTTGCTGTCTCTGCTGCATCATCCCTACACCAACGAGGCTTTCTGGATTTCTTTGATCTTTAGAGTGCTTCACTGGTTAAATTTTCTGTTTCAATTAATAAAAATAAAATAGAAGACTCAGTGCATCAGTTACACTGTCACATATCAAGTGCCCAGAGCCACTTGTGGCGAATGGCTACTATGTACTGGACATGCAGATTCAAGAACATAAATATCACCGCGGACAGTTCTGTCAGATGGGCACTCTTTTCTCAGTCTCAGATGTTTTACTTCCTGTGCTCTCAACTGAGCTAGGAAAGATCAGCAAATCATCTTTTCTACTTGTAACTCTACTTCTGCTCTCTTCCGCACCAGCAGAATCATCCTTGCCAAAGCCACCTTTCATATGATAGGTTTGTTCTTTGTCTTAAAAAATTTACTGAAATTAGGCCCTCCCTGGTAGTGCAGCGAGTTAAAAGCACAGCACTAAGATGCTAAAGCCACTTCAGCAAGAGTTTGATCCCCACCCCAGGAGGTGACCACATGGTGTGGCAGACCTCTCCTGACATGCCCGCTGCTCCCTCAGCTTTGTTGATCTGCCTGTTCTGCTCCCCACTCTGTCTCTGGTGAAGCCTCTCACCACCCCTGCTCCTCTGGCCTGTACCCCAGTTCTGTATGCATAAATATATAAATCTTTAAAAAAAATTTAGTGAAATTATAAATACTGAGAAATTATAAATACTAGTAATATGAGCCAGTACGTGGAAATAGGCTATTTCAAATACCGGTTACTACTAGTTGATTTTGTAGTGTGATGTAACTTGTTTTAGCCGCAAGATTTAGAGGTACTCAAGCTGGCTAAATGGGTCAAAAGTTTTGAATCTATGACAATGACTGTCAAGGGAAGGACGAGGCAGGAAGGAGAGAAAAGGAACAGTAATAGCTTTAAAGGCTAAAATGCTATTTTATTTTCAGAGTTTTAGTACCATTTTTAGAATTTTAGAGCATGTTGCTCTTTTCAAATGTGTAATTAAGAAATTTTTGTTGAACATTAAACCTGTAGAATGATACAGTGCTATACAATGTTTATAACTTGATAATGTTTATTATCAAGTCCCCACAATTGCAGCTGTAGTCCTGTCTAGACCAGCGTTCCATTTGTGTGTAGAGATTCAAGTCAGTGGTGTGTCAACTTATATTTGACTGTTATTTAGAACCAGATACATGTACCTATGAAGATTATGTCTGCAATTTAAATTCAGGCATATAAATGGGAAGTAACGCACTTGAATCATATACACTCAAAGTTATGTAGCAGAATATTCTGTGCTCTTCCCAGCTGTATGACTTAATTTTGTGTAGGTGTGTGTATATATGTACATATACCCATGATATCTGTGCATGCATGTACAGCTGAATATGCAAATTAGGGGTTACACTGCTTACTGCATGGGATCAAGCCTATCATGGACGTTATGTTTGCTAGATATAAATATTTTCCTTCTCATAGACTTAAGAACATGTTTGACAGAGCCAGGGGTGAAGTGATGGGAATAAGCAACAGAAGTCTTTGTGAAAACACCCCATTCTCAATTTAGTGAAGAGTAGGGGAAGCGGACAGAATTTTAACACATTTCTAAAGTGATGGTCAGATAATGTAAAAGTGTTGTTGACTTTTTAAGGAAATAGCAAACAACCCCAAAACTTAGGTTTTCCTGATTTTTATAAGGCTTACCAATAAATATAGGTTGACATTGGGAAATGTTTCACTTGAGTTAAAAATAAACAAAGGTTCTGTGCTGTGGGAAACTCGGGAGGCCTAGGAAGGCATCCGTCACCCCTGGGATGTACGCAGCGCAGGTTAGGGTAACTTAGTTCTTCCTGGCAGATTCTCCAAACCCCCTCTTGAGGTCCAGACTAAAAACCCCACATGAAGTATTATCTGTCAGGAGTACCTTTACCAGAAGAATCTGAGAAAGAGTGCTCTGACCTAACTATCTTGTTCCCCGGGTTTGGGTAGAGTGAGGAAACCACTTTATATGAAGATGCTCCATGTGGCAGGCACATGTTAGGTACTTCATATTTTGACTTTGTTTTATTTTTAAGTTGGGTCTATTGAAGGTATAATTCATCACTTTTTAAGTGTACAGGTTGATGAGTGCAGACACGTGAGTACAGTCATGTAAGTCAGGATGTTGAGCATTTCCATTACCTCAAAGGTGCCCTGTGAACCTTTCCCCCAGCTCACCAAGGAGCAGACTTTTGCCCCACTAGTTGGAAATAAGTCTTCTTTTCTCTTAGATAAATACATACTCAGGATTTATCACTGAGTTCTCAGGTGTATTTTAACTTTATAAAAAGCTGCGTATTTCAGTTGTCTCATTTTGTTTTCCCACCACAGCGTGTGAGACTTTGATTTGCTTGGCATCTTTGCCAGCGATTAAAAAATTTAAATAAATTCACAGTGGTATCCTACTGTGGTTTATGTGCATTTCCCTGTCATTATGATACTAATCACCTTGTCAGGTGTTCACTTACCACATCTTCAGTATGTCTTTTCAAACTTTCTGCCCATTTTTTTTTTTGAGTGGATAGTCTTCCGATTTGAGTTGCACATTACTGTTTTGCCAAGCTAAAGCTTGTAGATGATTACATATCACATGGAATATTTCCACCAGCCTCGTGGAGTTAGATAATCTAGCCAGTTTATAGAGAGGGCAGCTGGGTTGCAGAGAGCATGCACCTCTTACTGACATTTACACGGAGCCCATGGCGTGCAGAGTTCTGGCTGCCTGGGCTCTCCCTCAGCTCTGCCACCGTCGAGTTCCTTCACCAGTGTCACATGGTTTCCTTAACTTTAAAATGGGGA